ACTCCATTTCCCTAATCCACACGTCAAATCCTTATTTTCGGCGTCTGCAGAGTACAGTCGGTAGAAGTAAACTACCCTGAGAAACTAGAAAACTTTCTTCTCCTAACCGAGATACAGCAAGAGAAAAACGTCATTCAATGTAATAATACTAAATAGAGCTCAGCTCAATGGTATGTACACAACACACTACACAGACCACAGACGTATTGTGTTACCATCTTTTTCTTCTCTCTATATCTACATTACTTTTTTAGTTCCAACAAATTTCGATGGAGAGTGTGATACAGATTCTATTAGCTGTTATATAGATTATATATTTTTATTGTACACTGTATTTTTAAATTATATAAATAAGGGTAATATTTATATTAAATACATGAATCGATCAGTATGACTGTGTGGAATATATATGCAAGATTTATCAAATAAGCAAGTAAGTTTATTCGTAACTTATATGTATATCTATACATTTATTTTATAATTTTAATACTTTTTTTCAAATTATACACATATGTGTATATATATATATAATACTTATATATTTATAATTTTTTATTTGTTTAGATATATATACTATATATACATACTAAGAAAAGCATTTTATGTACAACATATTTTTCATATTATTTTGCTTATCAGTATTTTAACGTGAAACAGATAGAGAAATATATAATATCAAAATATGTTAATAAATTGAAAGATTGTAATCTGCAACCAACAATATTTTAATAAAATTAAAAACGTAATAATGAAATCTTGTTCTATATAATTTCTACATTAAAATTAATTTATAGTTACATTATAAAACTATAGCATAAGCTATAATATGATTAAAGTAGATTTGATATATTTATTATTGATTATAATGACATTAATAACTGCTTTAGTAGATTTTTTTAATGGCTCTGATAAAAGGAAGATTTTAACTTGCATATATTATATATTAAGATAAATTTATTTTTTAACAAATACTTGTGTGTTTTTTTTTTTAATAAATTACTGTCTTTTCATAAATATCTGCTTAATTAAAGAGCATTTAATTAGTATACTGCTTAATTTTGTTATAAACTTGTGCTTTTTTCATGAATAGTTGTGTATGTTTTTTTTACTTCCAGGAATCTTTAATTTATTTTGTTCCATGATAAATAAATGGAATAACATCACAATGTTTCCTACATCGAAAAGAAGGATTATAGAGTTGTAGATCTAGTACGACAAAGAGAAATACAAGTAAGTAAAATAACATTTGACTATCTTTTTTATAAACTATGTATTATGTTATTATATTATTTAGGACTCGGTGACACACACAATTTCGCAAAGACTACATGTTACTGAAAATCTCATATTACGTCTAGGTTTAGAAAAGGAATTAAATGGTCATACAGGATGTGTTAATTGTTTAGAATGGAATGAAACTGGACAGTATGTATCTTATTTCCATACTTTTTTATTGTACAATATGCAATGATTAAAATATTATATTTAGAATACTCGCATCAGCATCTGATGACAAAGATATCATATTGTGGGATCCTTTTCGTTATGAAAAAAAATTGGTACTTCATTCAGGTCATCGTGGGAATATATTCTCTGTAAGGTAAATAAACACACACATATATATGTATACTGAGTGTTTCATTTTAATATTAATGTAGTCAAGTATTTTGCTAAAACTTTAATTATAATAAGAAAAATATTTTATACAAAGGTTAAGATTTCAATATTTTATGCATAGAAATATTAAGGTAACGGCCTTCAAAAAATGAATATTTTACAAAATTTTTATTTTTGTACTTTATATGAAATTGTTACATTAAAGTACAAAATATCTCAAACTCATATTTTGGCCATCTTATCCTAATTATTATAATTTTTTATGCCGAATATTGCTAGGAATCAATTTATTTGTATACAAAAAATGGTCAGCACAAGCCAAACAAAAAAATAGAAGATGAATGTACAAAAAATGGGATGTAATATAAAAAAAGGGTAGTTTAATTTAAAAATTAGGTTAACCTTTAATTGATCTTAAATGAAACATCTTGTATGTAAATTTATATTATTAAGCTAGGGGGGGGGGGGGTTTATATCATATTAACATTAATTAATATTGATCAAACCTTCAATTCTTGAACTTTTAAGATATTATTTATTTTTATAGTTATAAATATATAAATATATATATATATATATATATATATATATATATATATATAAATTAATGTCAAATAATTTCTAAAGAGGGATATAATTTTTTATATATTATATTATTAGGTACTTTAAATATTATAAAAATTTTGTTAGATCTATGTAACGATTCTGTTATACACCTATATGAAATAATTTTGTGTAAGTTGTTGCATAAGATGCAGTGTTTTGTTTAGATAATTTAAAGATAATTTGGTTTTAAATATATCTAAATGAGAGATACAATTATATAGTGGTTTATTTAGATAACTCAGATTAATATTATTTTTAAGACCACTTATGTAAATACAGTTATAAAAAAATGTAATTATAAAAGGAGTATAAAAATATATTTATACTTTTATTTATAAGTTTTTATCACTTACTGCTTAAATATTTTTATGTAGTGCTAAACCAAATTATCTGAATATTATCCTAGATAATTTAATAAAGATAACAGTTTTATCTAAGATGCAAATACAGATAATACATATTTGTATTATCTATATTAAGATAAAATGACACCAAAAACTTCATCTAAATGATCATTTATATAATTTTATTTAATAATAGTCAGTGTTTGCTGTTATCTAAATAAAATTATATAGATAATTATCTAGATGAAACTTTGGCGTCGTCTTATTTTTATATAGATAATAAAAATATGTATTATCTAATATCTGTATCTTAGATGAAAAAAGTATTATCTTTACTAAATACCTAGAATAATTTTCAGATAATTTTGGTTTAGAATCATAGCATATAAAAATACTTAAATAGTAAAACTTAAACAGTAAGCGAGAAAAATTTATAAATAAAAATATGAATATATATATTTTTATATCCTTTTTATAATTTACATTTTTTTATAACTGTTTACATAAGCAGTCTTAAAAATTATTATAAAAAATTATCTAGATGAATCGCCATATAATTTTATATTTTATCTACATATATTTAAAACAAAATTATCTTTATCTTTTCTGAGATGAATTTACATATTTTTATCTCATCTTTATCTAGCTAATTTTAAAATCATCTAAGCACAATACTGATAATAGCAAACACACACAGATGAAATATTTCTTGTGATACAATTTGTATTTGTTTTTAGTTTATGCCAAAATCAAATGACAGTATACTGGTGTCAGGTGCAGCGGATTGCAGGATTCGGGTGCACGATCTAACACTCTCCGAACCAATATTCACGTGTAAATGCCACAAGCAGCGCATCAAACGTATCGCCACTGTGCCCAGTATTCCGTTCTTGTTTTGGAGCGCGGGCGAGGATGGTCTCTTCTTACAATATGATATTCGTACGCCGCATATTTGCAGGAATAATAATCACAACGTTCTCGTGAACTTGGTTTATCATATGGGTCGTTATGCGGAAGGCAAATGCATTGCCGTAAATCCGAGAAAGCCTGAACTGGTAGCTATCGGCGCCAATGATGCTTATATTCGGATGTACGATCGACGAATGATAAAGTTATCACAGGTATTTTCAAATTCAGATTTGAGACAAGTTTTACATTATACAGGGTGTATAGTCCCTGGAAAAACTTGGAAAACCTAGGATTCTCAAGAAATTTTGTTCTATCTTGAAAAATTCTAGAATTATCATGGAATTTGATTTAAACTCAGGGAATTTTTACAAAAATTGCCCCTTTGATTTTAAAATAGTTTTACAGAATATAAAAAGAGGATGTTAAAAATAAGCCGTTTTTGGCCCACAAGCGGAACCTAAATCAATCATTGGGAACTGTTTTTGAGATCTAGAAGCAGAAAATAACAATTATTTGTCCACCAGATCCGGGGAAAATTACGAAAAAGATTCATCAATTATTGAAACAGAAATATAAAGATTTTTAAACTTTATATTCTTGATATATATTTAAAATAAAATCAATTGTATACTTATATATTGGTAAATAAGTAGTATATGTAGAAAACTTTACATAATTGACATTACACATACAGAATGTGCCAAAAGTCTGGAAATGATTGAATATTTTATAAATTATGCATTTTAGAAAAAAATGTTTTAAATAAAGTTGCAGCACTTAAAAATATCTATCTACTAGTATTGTCAGTTTGACCATAGATAATGATGCCGAGATAATAAATCTTGATTTTCATAACTTTCCCCGGCCTCTGGTGGACAAATAATTGTTATTTTCTGCTTCTAGAAGATTCCAAAAACAGTTTCCAATGGTTAATTCATGTTCCGCTTTGGGTCAAAAATGGCTTATTTTTAACATCTTCCTTATTAATTTTATATAAAATATATATTAAAATATATTTATTATAATATAATACTATATTACATTATTATATTAAAAAAATATTTATGTTAAAAATTATGTGTAACATAAATAAAAACGTAGATATTTGAGAATCGCCAGACAGAATTTAAAAAGTAAAACTCTTCTCTCGACCGTACTGGCAAATATTATTTATTAAATCACAACGTTTCGACCCTTCTTTGAGTCCTTATCAAGTGATCTAGATATACATAGAGAGAAATACAGTGCAGAGATTAATACAATAAAAAAAAAATTACTTCACTTATCAATATTACAAAATAATAAAAGATGTGAAACATACTTGTGAAGATAAAAATAAATCGAAATGTTGTGATTTAATAAATAATATTTGCCAGTACGGTCGAGAGAAGAGTTTTACTTTTATAACATATAAATTTATTTCAAAATTGTATTCTAAATATTATTTAAAGTACTTTAATTTTACCTGGAACTTTGAACAAAAGTACTTGGAAAATCATGGAATTTATCTCTAAGATTTGAGTATACACTTTGTTTTAACATCTCTTTGAAACCATAGGTTCCTCCATCTCCCTCTATACACGATAACTCAGATTGGGCAAATATTAGTACTTATCGAGCAGGAAAAGGTGATCCAGATGATAATATTCCATTGGGTAGCACACAATACTTTATTGCAGGTATTGTTCATACAATTTAAGAGATCATATGTGTCGTTTTCTTCTTTCTCTTCTTCTTTGTTAAGTATAGTATAATCATTTTGATTAAGATTTATCATGCAGTTTAATATTGATTAGGTCATCTGCATTCTCGTGATGGTAACAGGAGCATTACAACTACCTATTTGACATTCAGTGATAATGGAAATGAGTTACTCGTAAATATGGGTGGAGAACAAGTTTATCTGTTTGATATCAATGATTCAAATAATTCAAAAACATTTTTCAGTTCATCAAAGAAATATTCAAGTAACTGTCACAAAGTTCGTCGCTTTTATATGTGCATATAAGCACAAAATAATTATATACACGATAATCAATTACGTTTTACTAGGATCAATAGAGTGGGATCAAGAACTTGGCAAGTATTATTTGAAACAAAATGACATTAGCTATATGGAAGATCTTGTAAACAAAACTGTAAAAATATTGCCACCTTACGTTGAAGAATTGAAACGCCAAGTAAGTTTTTATATATGCAGCATAAAATATGGTAAACTATCTTTACAAATAAAATTTTATTTCTATGTTAATATAAAGTTAATTCATCATAAGAAGCATTTTTTAAATCTATTTCATGATTGTGAATTTTATGACTTTTTTAAAAATAATTTATATTTAAGCAGAGAGAAAGTCTTTAAAAATTAAAAAATGGAAAGAGAGATGAAAATACATGAAAAAAGAATCAAAACATATTGAAAAAAAACAAAATATTAAAAGAAAGATTAATAATGGGTAATCAACATAATACTTTTTTGATTAACAGGCAAATGAGGGGTTTGAGCAACAAAAATATTCACTAGCAATTAATTTATATAATAAAGCAATTTTTTACTGTCCAATGGCGGCAGTATTGTATGCTAATCGAGCAGCTGCTTACATGAAACGTGCTTGGTAATTATTTTTATTGATAAATAGAGTATGTATACCAAATAATTTTAAAAAAACATTTAATTTTGATATAGGGATGGCGATATTTATGCCGCTTTACGAGATTGTCAGACAACATTACTTCTTGATTCGGAACATGTAAAAGCTCATTTTAGGTAAATCAAATAAGCATTAACCTTTATAATTGATAAATTTGAAGAAATATATTCAGTCACTTGAGCAAAAAAGTGATGTGAAATTCTTATCATTAATTTTATTTATACAATTTCAATTATAGTCCAAATATAAAAACTTGTACTGTTTCAATAAGTATCAAAGCTAAAAATAAAAGACATTAAATGTGAATTTTTGTTTTGACTCAACAAGCACATTATTAAAATAATAATTTTGTTCTTAAATATTGAAGTTGTTAAATTTTTATTATAACTTATACATGTATACAGATTGGCACGTTGTCTGTTTGATTTAAATCGATCAATTGAAGCTGACAAAGTACTCAAGAATTTTCAACAAAAATTTCCAGAATATACATCTAATTCAGCGTGTAAAGCATTGAAAATGGATATAAAAGAAGCTATCGATGCTGGTAACATTATTTGATCTTATTTATATAAAAAATGTGTACAAAATAATCATATAAAATTTTATCTACATATATTTGTGTATATTATAACTTATATATACACATTTGTTAAAGCTTTATTAAGGATATATTCTAATATATTATTATTTATTTATTAGGAAAAGACGTGACACAAAGTAGCCAATCATTTTTCCCAATATCAGAATATGAGCAAGAATGGAGACGTAATACAATCGATTATAAAATGAGATTTTGTGGTCATTGTAATACGACGACTGATATAAAGGAGGCAAATTTCTTTGGAAAGTAAATAAGTTTAAATAGAATTATTAGTAGTATAATTAAAAGGATGTTAAAAACAAGCCATTTTCGGCCTAAAAACGGAACATAAATTAACCATTGAACTGGTTTTGGAATTTTTTAGAAGCAGAAAATAACAATTATTTGTCCACCAGGTCCGAGGAAAGTTATGAAAATCAATATTTATTATCGATTATTGAAAGTCATATAAAGATTAAGCTTTATATTCTTGATATAAATAAAATCATTTATACTTATGTATTGAAAAATAAGTAGTATGTGTAAAGAATTTAATGTTTTTATTTACATAATTTACATTACACATACACGGTGTCTGGACAGTCTGGAAATTATTGAATATTTCATAAACTATGCATTTTAGAAAAAAATGTTTTAAATAAAAGTTGTAACGCTTAAAAATATCTATTTACGTCTGTCTAATCAGTTTGATCATAAATGGCGATGCCAAAGTCAGGGCAACATTATCTTGAATTTTTAAAATAAAATCAAATTTTTTTATATAAATAAATTCTCGCAATATTCTACATAAAAAGTTATAAGGGTAAAATGGTCAAAAAGTGAATATTTTACAAGATATTTTATAGTTTATGTAAAATTATGTAAAATTTAAATATTAAATATTTCAAACTATTCTCAATATCAAATATCTCAAACTAATCTCGAGATATCCCTGCTTTTTGGAAACAAACTCCGATTCGAAAATTCTTGTAATAAAACTTCCAATTCGTCGATCCTTGAAACTTATCCCACGGAAGGGGAACGTAAAAATATCAAAAACTGCGTTTATGGATTTCCCTTCGCAGGATCTTATTAAGAGGACGTAACGGAAGGCGTGAAACAAAAACGGGATATAAACGCAAACTTTGCCACGGAGCATCACTACCTTTTTTGCTTGCTTGAAGTGTGCTATTTGTACTACTCGTGTCATTTATTTGTATATTAGTGCTTTGTGCTAAGTGCCTTCAACGATTTTTATGCGAAATATTGCGAGGAATCAATTTATATAAAAAAATGTAGTGATTTTATTTAAAAAATTTAAGATGATCTTGCTCTGACCTTGGCATCATCATCTTTGGTCAAACTGACGAGACTAGTAGATAAATATTTTTAAGTGCTGCAACTTTTACTTAAAACATTTTTTTTAAATGCATAATTTGTGAAATATTCAATCATTTCCAGACTTTTGGCACATTCTGTATGTGTAATGTTAATTATGTAAAGTTTTCTACATATATTACTTATTTACCAATATATAAGTATATAATTGATTTTATTTTAAATATATATCAAAAATATAAAGTTTAAAAATCTTTATATTTCTGTTTCAATAATCGATAATGAATCTTTTTCGTAATTTTCCCCGGATCTGGTGAACAAATAATTGTTATTTTCTGCTTTTAGAAGATCTCAAAAACAGTTTCCAATGATTGATTTAGGTTCCGCTTTTAAGCCAAAAATTATTTTTAACGCCCTTTTTACTCTTTATTTTAATTTCTTAACTTTATGCAACGAATTTATGTAAGATTTATCTTAAACTTGTAATACTCTTGTTTTTAGCAATGGTCAATATATAGTAGCTGGATCAGATGATGGTTCCTTTTTTATCTGGGATCGTAATACTACTAATATTATACGTGTACTGCGAGGAGATGACAGAATTGTCAATTGTTTACAACCACATCCATCCACATGTTTATTAGCTACTAGTGGTATTGATCCAGTGATTAGATTATGGAGCCCGTGGCCAGAGGTATCATCATTTTTTTATTTAGATCATATAGTGTGCATGCACATTGTTATGATTTTATAATAATTTGTAACTAAACTAGTTAAATTAGATTTGGAATCATTCAGATAATTTATTCAGATATCAACTAAAACTATTTTAATTGAGTTGGCTAATAATGTTCTCCCATTTTTTAACCAAAATCGTAACTGAAATATTTATAATATAAGTATGCTGTCTTCTAAGCTGGGCAATAGAGCCAAGGAAACGACCGCTTCAGCGACTTTTCGGACCTATATTTTTCTCGCTTATTTCTCCATATGTAAGTTTCGAAATAATTTATATGTGGAACTTGGGATCTCAAATTGAGATACAGTTCCGTTTAATTAATTTTTCGTTTCGTTTCCTTGGCTCTATTCCCAGCTTAGAAGACAGCATACTTATATTATTATATTGAGAGCCGATAAAAATATTTATCTGAAATATTTATATTTTAAAATATTTTTATTAATAAATACATGCACCATTGTGTTGCATAATTTCAGTAAGCTTTCAAACAATTTCAGAATATCGCTCTCGTATAACTTTCTGAGCGAAGAATTGCTCTAACTGGATTTTAATTTGAAAAAATATAATTGATTCATTGATTAATTTTTAATTATTTATTCAAAAAAAGATTTGACATACTTATTAAAATCTGTTCTTGCTAGCTAAATAATTTTTAAGTATAAGTAATATATTGTTTATAAAATTAAAATTATTTTCTAATTAGGAAATTATAGTTATTTCTAGTCTTTACTGGTAGTTTTTACTTATAGTTATTACTTATAGCATTATATTTGGTTTTTTTCTTATAGAATTCGATAAAAATATTTGATAAATTTAAATTTCAATTAGCTAAAAAGTATTGAATTATACTTTTATTAAATTAAATATATTGGAATGAGAGCCTTTAAAGTATTAGATAGTTTAATAATTAAGTTATTAGATAGTTAAATTGTTGTGAAAAAAAATAATTATATACACAGTGCTCCAAAGAATCTAATAAACGGTTATATATCTCGAATATAAAACATTTTTATAGAAAAATGTTTTAAATAAAAAACAAGTCATAGAGTTTTAAAAGTCTATTATTTATTAGCCTAATCAGTTTAACCTTGGATGGCTTTTTTCAAGGTCATTTCAAAATTAACTCAATTTTTTTTATGGAACTATTTTATTTATTTATTTATATATTTATTTACTTAGTACATGAAAAGACTTCCCTCTAATATACAGAAAGAAATTATATAATAAGGAACTTATCTAAACGGTGAATTAATATTACTTAGTTAACACACACACAACACACACACACACACACAAATAGAGTCTCATGGGCAGTAGAGATCGTTATTTTAATTATTTATGTAAATAAAGTTCTTATAATATTCTGCATAAAAGTTGTAAGGATAAAACCACAAATTGAACGGTTTACAAGATATTTTATGTAACATATTTTGATATAAAAAACAATTAAAGTTGTTTTTAAGCCATGGCCACAAGCCTACAGTTTGTTAAAGAAGATTTATTCCAGTATATCGTGTGAATAATTCAAAAATTCAATATGTAAAATATTGCAAGGATTATTAACTTAATTTTAATTACAGGATGGCAGTGTAAATGAAAGAGAAATTCAGAATCTAGATGATGCTGCATCAGCCAATCAAATACGTATGAATAGCGATCCATTTGAATTAATGCTTATGAACATGGGATACAGATTTCCTGTTCCTCAACATGAATTTAGTGATGAAGATGGTGAAGATCAACATGATCAGCCAATAACACAAGCTTTAAATTGCAGGCCAAGTTAAAATCTTGTAAGAAATTCATAAAACCAGCAGATTAAAAATGGTTAGATAATTGATCTATATATTAATATACATATTATATTATCTTTCACATTTTAATTTACTATTTTAATATTAATTATTTATTTTTTCACCGATACATCATGAATTACTTTTATGTAATAATAAAAACACTTTTGTAAGATTGAATATAAGATAAAATTTTATTTCTTAAGATATGAATGTATTAAGAAAGGTAAAACAAAGATATTAAGGAAATTATGTATTTCAAATTTATATTAGAATATAATTAATATATTATGTATATGGTATAGGTATGAGTGCGAATGTGTATATGTGTGTGTATCTTTGTATAAAATGAGTTGCTTTTATCTTCTTGTCGCATTAATATGGATAAATAAAATTTAAAACTTTAAAAACTATTAAACTAAAAATAATTTTAAAATTAATTAACAGATGATGGTATAAGTTCCCATAAATTCTGTAATGTACTGCTTTCTCTGGGCTCTTCTGCAGCGAGTCCTAAATGAATTGCGAAGTTGGGTTTTCTCTGACCTGTATTTCCTTCAGAAAAATAATAACCAAATACATTTGATATTTCAGGTTGATTATCTTGTATCTCGGTGAAATGTTCTATATTAATGTTCTCCTCTTGTGAAGATGCCTGTAATACATACACAGATACGCGCATATAATATTTACATATTTTCATGGAATGATGTATCAGAATGTCTATACTTCTATACTAAATTTGTACAACAGCAAAATATTAATATATGCTTATAAGATATACGCTAGTATAAAACTGAAAGAAATTTATCGAGCACCTTAATTCGAGTAACTTAATTTTACTTTAAATTGCAAAAAGATTCTTAAAGAAGAAAAGCAATCTTAAAGAAGAAGGGCGTTAATTATTAAGATACACTTCATTTAATTTAATCATAATTAAGTTTTTAATCATAATTAAAATTCAAGTAAAAAGACTCGATTGAAAATTTAATTTTATTGAACATTTTATTTTTGATTAATAAACTTTATAGATCAATATACTACTATGGAAATGTAATATATAGTTATAAAGTACCTGATGTTCAAATATGTATTCCACACCAAAAATAGGAAACTTTTCGTATTCTGAACGAAGTATAGATACTTCTTTGTGAATAATGTGAAGCTGCTGCAAGGGATTGACACGAAAACCTAAAACATATCCACCACTAGCTTCTGTACTTAAAATTACTAAAGTCGGTCCAAATTTCGAAGTCCTAATAGTAATCTGGAAAAGAAATTTATTCAAATGGCATATACAATTTCTCAAAAATCTTAAATATGCATTTTTACATATAAATTCTTTATTCATCAATTTTAAAAATATATATCTTTAAAGATTTGACAATTGTTATTAATATTATAATATACATATTAGTATTTTAACACTTACATTTCCAATTGTAAGATAAGGTATCGACACATTAAATTGATGATTTACATCTGCATACCATACCAAACGTATATTTGTTATAATAAAAGTTCCGATATTTCCCTACATAATAATTATTTTTATTTATTATTTAGCAATTATCATACAATAACATAATTTTTAAAAAATTTCTGACGATTAAAATTTGAAACTTCAAAACCTGTTCAACAGATAAATTCCAAACATCTTGTATGGAAGAATGTACTTTTTCTTGAGGTAACAAAACCAACCGATTTTCACGTATAATACCACTTCTCAATTTAATTTCTCTGTAAACTTTCGACGACACATAAGCTCTGCAATAAGCGTTTTATGAAAATAATGTACAACAAAAACTATAAGAATACGAAAAAAATTACTAATATAATAATAGTTCTTCAAAACCTTTATTTTTGATTGTACAACAAAATGTTTCAAACAGAAGTTATTGTTTGATATAAAAGGGAACAGAAAATAGCGATACTGATTTTTTAGGGCGATTTTAAGGTCATTTGAAAATATATTTATGGTTTTTAAATGGAACTATCCCAAGTAGCAAATTAACGTCATTAAACATCAAAGTGAAATATCATTCGATGTTAAAATGACGTATAACAATATCTGGGATCATATTTTTTTATATATAAATCAACTTCTCGCAATTTTCGACATAAAAATTATAAGAGTAAGATGACCAAAAAATGGATAGTTCACGAGATATTTTATATTTTTTGACAAAATTTTACATAATCTAGAAAATATCTCGTAAAATATCTATTTCTAGTCGTTCTTACTTAAAATACTTCCATGTATAAAATAATAAAAGAAGTAAATTGGTATAAAAAAAAGAAAGATACAGTTGTTTATATAAAAAAAGTATGTATAGCCAGTTGTAATTTACGTACTTTTTCTTGAAAACAATGTGTTGTTTTTATACCAATTATGATTTTTCTCATTATTTTGTGCATAAAAGTATTGAGATAAGATCATTTAAAAATAAATATTTTACGAGATATTTTATAGTTTTATATAAAATTATGTCAAATTGAAATATAAAATATATTCTAAACTATTCATTTTTTTGGCCATCTTACTCTTATTACTTTTTATGCAGAAAATTACGAGAAATCAGTTTATTTTAAAAAAATATAGTAAAAGAATATAATAATGTAATAATAGTTTTCACCTATAAACACCTATGACAGATGTGTAATGTCTCGTACTTTTGATATCATGATTCGTAAATATAAATTCATATCGACAGTTTCGAAATGAAGTTAATATATGAAGAGCTTGCATATATCCACCATGAATCTAAAAAAAGAAAAACAATTTTAAATGGAGAAAAAAAGAAATGATTGCTTATTACTTCAACAATACAGCAAATATTTATTTGAAAGTGTTCCTTACCGTATGAAGAATTTTTGTGTTTACTGTCACAAAAGTATTGTAGCCTATACCTATAAAATCATACATCTTTTTTTCTCCGTTTAAAAAGTACTTATATTGAGTAGATTAATTATAACATTATATTCTGTTAAATTATAAATTATGTATGAGAATACTTTGTGTCGTACTTAAGTTGATTCGTGGCAAAGATAAAGAATGCCATATAATTCTCAAATTTGTGACAATTAATTTTCCTAAATCTCCAGCATTGCCTTTTGTATCTTCTATCATGTCAAGTTTGTCAACGGTCACTTCCCCAGGTTGCAGCTGCATATTACTATGTACAAAAATAATTTTAATTTTCAAACATTATGCTTTACATTACAATAATTCAATTTCTCACCATGCTAAATATAACTAAATATTTAATTACAGGGCTTATTTAATATATAAATACATAATGTGAATGAGATAAGAATATGGAATAAGAGAATCATATAGAGAGATCACATTTAATATATTAAATTACAAACATATAAAAAATAGTAAAATCAAAAATAAGTTGGAAAAAGATTAAAATTTTATAATTACGAGTGAGAAATATCAAATCTGACTTCACTGTCCTGCCACATTTTGAGTATCAGGTGAACAAGACCATAACTAACTTATTGTTAGACTGAAAATCAATACCGTTGTCATATCTACAAAGATGCACAACAGTATACTTTGTGATGTGCAAAAGATTCTTTCAAGGACCAGCGTATAAGCAAATTCAAAGAAGCCTAATCACTTGCATAGTATATAAAAAAAGATTCTTTCAATATAAAATCAAATTTATCTTATATTATCATATAACATATGCTTAAATTAATTACATATACAAATGAAATTCAACATCCACAAGAAATCAAAATGATAAAATAGATTGAAGAAAAAAGAACTTGCTACTTTGACATACAAATATTTACATACAAAAGTATACATTGTAATGTTAAGGAATTCATATATATTTTTCTGTCTTGTCATTACAGTTATATATTAAAAAAAACTCATACAATGCCATACACATTATTCTTCCGGCCAAGGTTTGCCTATACCCTGCGACGCGCCCATTCTGGATGGATCTTGACTTGGATAGTGTATAGGAGTTGTTCCTGGAGGGAAAATCGGAGTCGCAGCTGCAGCCGCCATTGCGGCGGAACATAAATTGAGGTGCAACAGGTGGCGGTGGAATCATCATTGGTGGTATCATGCCAGACGTGGTTTGTAGATTGAAGAAATTATTGCCCATAGTTTCGGGAGGCGGTGGTAAGGTTCCTGGTAAACCGGGAACGGGTTCAAGAATCTCTCTCATGGCCTCAGTAGCAGATATCGTTTGTCTTCCTTGAGAACGACCCCATTTTATAGTGAGTCGTCTTCCACCTAATATTAATTTGTTGAACGTCCTTTCGGCCGCTGCCTCGGCGGCGCTTCTTTGCGTGTATTGGATGAAGGCACATTGTTGACGCGGTACCATAGTCACCGAACGTATCTCGCCATATTGATAGAAATGATCGCGCAATTGTTTCTCTGTCAACACATCGCCTAAATTGCCAATGTATAACGTCGTAATAGATTTATCCTCGGGTGGATCGAGTTTGGGCATAGCTGCGGCTCTACGCATAAGCTTATCTGCCACTGGATCATTCACCCCATAATAACGATCCTTTATGTTTTGATCAGCTAACGGATCGTCGGGATCTGTCGGTTTTTCATGCCGGTATGGACACTCTTCGCCTCTCTTGCATTCGCCTTTCACCCAAAACGAACAAATGTGCGGTCTATTCCTCTTATAATACGGACTTGTTCTGGCCAATTTCATTAATAGATCGCTAGCTGCAGCGGATTTGCCTACGGCACCGGCTGGCGTTGTCGGATCGATCTTGCCAATCTCATTGTCTATATTTTGTACGTAGTATTCCTTATTTACATCCGAACGAGGCAAATCGTCTTTAATCTTTAAAGCTGCATCGCGAACCTGGATAGGCAAACCATATTCCAGGTCTAATAAACATGTCTGACAAACATTTTTCAATCGACTGCACGTCTGACAGACTTCCGTCTTCTTAAATCGCATCCTTGCCCCAGGACACCATCTAAATACCGTAAATGGTCGCATACATATCTTACACTCCTTCCCATATTTTTCCTTTGTCTGCAAACAAGAAATATATATGATAGTAATTATGGAATCTTTTTTGTAAGACTATTTTCATTAAAAAAAAAGAATATATTAAATTTTGTAATTTAATTGTCACTATTTATTAAGTTCAAAATTTGATATTACTACACAACTATAAAAAGATGTTCGAAAAAAATATTTATGACAACTTACCATACGGATATATGGATTATCTCCCAAGCACGTCTGACATAATATTGGAAATTCCTATAGATAAAAATATAAGAGAAAGAAACAAAATCAATTTTTTTTTTTTAAACACTGATATAAATATGATATTTTCATTTCTTTATGCTTACTGCATCTTCCCAATTTTGCCTGTTATAAGTATTCGTAGTTTTAGATGTAGCCATAATGTTAATATTTATCTTAATAATTATACAGAAAAAAATTAATATTATACTTCCACCATTTGCAATACGAGCACTGTCATGAAGGCATAAATCTAACAAAGATCGACAGGAGTGACGGATAAATTCCAATCCGCTATTGGAGACCTCGCGCGAGTAACAATACGAAACTCCGATGTGTCACGTCCGGGTGACCTTCTTTTTTCCTCTATTACTCTAGATCTGGGAAGAAAGGGTTATGTGACGTCCCGTCTATTTTAAAATTTTTATTTTTCAATATAACTATTGCGCGCTACTCATATTCTCGTAGAAATAAGACTATTAATAATCATTATATTTTATTAATTGCTCTAATCTGACTATTTTAGTATTAATAGCCAAAATCGCCAGATCTGGGGTCCTCTACCTAGAACCAAACATCTCTATCTAGTCCTAACCATGCGACCAATCAGGCACCATCTAGGGACCCCAGAGACGGCATGTAACTAGCGGAACTAACCAGATATTCCTTACAGAAGCACTTATCGATACACTTATTACAATAACGCCAAACTATAAATAATAATATGACAAATATTAATATAATCAAGCACAAGATATAAGGACTAAAAATTTTAACCCACTCCCTCCTAAAGTAAATTACAATACAACGCGATGTATTATTAATTCCGAAACAACCCTTTTTAGTCAGATTTACAGAATCCTAATCACATCAAATTTATACGATAACTAAAAAAGAAACACTAATTCTTTCAGAATTCATACTGAAACGAAACACGATTCTGTAAGTGCGACTAAGAATTATCCGAGTACACATTTGAATATGTAAACCTTTCAATATTGCATTAGTGAATTATGGATCCATAAATAATTATAGACCTTTTTATTAACTATAAATATCAAATATTATTAATGAAGTATGCTATAATTGACTATAAATATCATATATTATAATTGAAGAATGCCATAATCGACTGATCAATATGCGTAAAAGGACCAAACAAGGAATAATAAATGTACTGCTAGACATAAGTATTCGTAGAGATCGACTTGGCGACACGATGGCTTGTAACCTGACCTCGTATGACCCCCTGCCGCATTCCTGAGCTTTAGGAAAGAAACCAACGCCCTACGCCGAACCAAAGATTTAGGAAGCGAAATATTATCTTTATCATTATAAGCTACAACTTAAACTATCAAAAACTAGCCCTTGAATCCTTTACAGAATAACGTTGCACGTTCTTTTATTTTAACAATAAAAACCTCTCAATTATTAATATAATAAATATTCAAGGAATTACAATCTCCACATTTTTGTAATGGCTTCTAGGGCACGCAATTTAACCCTTTAGTATAAATTATAATGATAAATATTAACGTTTTTATAAATAAGGAATTTGGAAACTAATGTAAAAATTCCCATTCGTCTATTAAGAATCGTAATTATACTGCGCCAACGAACCATCTTAGCTGATGGACCACCCTTCGCCCCCTTTTCGATGACGGAAACCGAATTCCTACGGAACCATAAACATGTCAAAATCTAAGCACGTCTGGTCCTCCAAAGGGTATATAAACCGCGGATTTGATGTCCTGCGAGCACTTCTTGTCAACTTCTAGAATAGAGCATTTTTCGTATTACTATTTTCTAAATTCTAAATTCCACACTTAGCCGATTACGGTTAATCTAGTTTTCGTGTCAATTAGTACTTAGATTTTTTCTGCAAATCCTTATGTTAATTATCATTCTAGTTAATTCATCTGATAGTTTAAATTCGTAAACTCCAAATTGTACCATTATAAGTCACAGACTTAGAAATTGTTCATAAATAAAGAAATAAAGAACTAAAATTAATATAAAATCAGTGCATATCTGTTCTTCCAACTCCATCCTGAGACCGAGGTCCCCAGGAGAACTACAGCCCAGGCATAGTCACCGACCAGGAACAACAGAGCAGATCTTCATCTCCGTGCGAAATCAAGTAAGAACTAATCCTTTTTAATCCTCGATCTAATTTTATAATCTCCTAATAACTAATTAATTAATATTATAAGGATGAACATATCCGTGTAAATGGACAGCCGGAAACGCAATCTTGTACGTAAGAAGAAGCGTACACGCCCTTCAATAATTAGGAAATATAGATCAATCGCGACTACTTTCTCAAATTCTCAAGAGAGATTATCCGGAGATAAACAATTACCTGAGTCTCAAGAGGTGATCTCTCCTGACTTACCTCAAGGTTCCGGATCAATTGACAATTTTCAACATAAAATAGAACCCTTATCACCAATCTCCCTTGAGGAAATTGATAATATAATCAACGAATTAATAGAATCGTCTAAGAATTCCTATCAAGATTTTCCACCTTTCGAGGAATATAATTTTCCTGCTGTCTCTTTACCAGAATTAATAAGCTCAGGACCGCTAGAACCTCCCTTTGAAATCGACGACTATTCGAAGTATCTAGATCTTTAATAATCTCAACTCGCGATTATTTACAGATTATTCTAAATGTTCAAATCCTTGATAATAGATTATTACTTTATTTTATTAATAACATACTTTAATTTCATATCTTATATCAGAGAGAAAGATGAGAGCGGCCAGGCCGGCGTTTTGGCTGTTACCGTTTTTACGGGACTGCTTGAAGCGCCCCTCGCACCCGTTTTCAATATCGGAACTAACTGCACACCCTTTTCTGGTAGGGTCGATAAAGTTTGTATTTGGTGCGAGTCCGTGCTACGCCCATAATTTTCGTGTTGAGAAACTTGATGCTAGAATCCATTTCAAGTTCAAACCCTGCTGTTTTAATTTTTTTAATTTCGTTTTTTTTCAAAGGTGTATTCACAAAAGTTATTATGTATAAGAACAATCAATTAATAAATTATTATTTGATAATTATTAAAATTATACGCACATTTTTTAACAATTTTGCTTATGTAACTAAAACTTTATAAAATATAAGAGTTTTAACAAGGCTCTGTAATATAAATATAAATTTAACGTATAAGACGGGCAACAAGAGCCAAATCGCGGATGACAATGCGTTATCCTAACGAAACTAAATAATTTTTCGTTAGAATTAAATACCGGTGCACAAGGCACCAAATTTTTACTTGGACACGGCCAAGATTTTAAATATGAAATAATCTCATATTTTGAGATTTAATTTCAATACCCCTTTAACCCCCCTACGGAATGCGTTTGTTTACCAACATTAATATATATAACAGAGAAAAGTATAGAATCGAAAGGATCTGAATAGCTCAGCTGGAAGAGCAGTCGCCCGGCAAGCGAAAGGTCTCGGGTTCGATTCCCGATTCAGCAATTTTCGGATCTATATTTTTCTCTTGCATTCATTTATTTATTTTCCGTAGGGGGGTTAAAGGGGTATTGAAATTAAATCTCAAAATATGAGATTATTTCATATTTAAAATCTTGGCCGTGTCCAAGTAAAAATTTGGTGCCTTGTGCACCGGTATTTAATTCTAACGAAAAATTATTTAGTTTCGTTAGGATAACGCATTGTCATCCGCGATTTGGCTCTTGTTGCCCGTCTTATACGTTAAATTTATAAAACTTTATAAGTTTGTAATCAATTTAATATTTTTTTAGTTTTCATAAAAAAATTGTAATCTTTCCTAATTATAAAATTGTTGAAAAATATGAAATTATTTTAATAATTATAAATAATAATTTATTACTTTATTGTCTTACACATAATAAAGTATTTGAATACACCTTTAAAAAAATAGAAAAAAAATAGAAAAAGCAGGTTTTGAACTTGAAAGGTCCAGAATTCTAACTCGTCGTCTCACCCACTCGACTACGCATATTACCTAACGTTCCTTTCTATCAGTACAGTACATTAGGAAGGCCCACAGAAACTTCAACAATTAAATCTTATTAATTATATATATATATATATATATATACATACAGGGTGTTTCATTTTAATTTCCCCAGGCAAATATTAAATATATTAAAACTGTAAATATTAATATAACTGTTATATACTTAACACAACTGTTATATACTTAGCATTTACTTAATAATGTTATTTTATTATAATTATGTAATAAAATGTTTTTTTTACGTAGGACACATTCAAGAAATATAAATTTTTCTTACTATAAAAATGATAACTACATAACTTATTTTAATAAATACATTTTTATTAAATTAATATGACTATATAATTCATTGGCATATGAATAAACATGCAAAAAGATCGCAAATAGTTGAAACAATTGCATAAGAGATTGAGCACAATAAAATAGAAAATGGATAAAAAAATGTATCTATTCTGCGTTACTAAATTGCATTTCATGTTTGATATTGAACTATTCCTTATTTCCCGTTCTTATTTTCTGTTTTTTATACTCTTTTCCTTATTCTTTTTATTATGCGCAGATCCCAAATGTCAGACTATTAAGTCTTATCTAATCTACATTAAATCTACACTAATAATCTACACTGCATGCTGTAGATTTTCTTTAAATAATTATATTATTTATATGCTTTTGGTGTCTCTTTTTCCCAACATGCGTGTGTATTTGAGAACATCTTTTTTGTTATATAGTCTTCATCTGTTTTATTCTTATTTTGGTTGAATACATTTTATTATTTATATCGCTCATTTGTTGCAGCAATGACAACTCAAATATAAAAAATATTGTAGTTATGAGCACAGGGAAAAAGGTTGCTACATGTACTATTATTATATTAAATCGTCTCCTGAAAAATCACAATTTTGGAGTTATATATTATTGTTGTAGCAAATGTATATGTATTTATTAATTTTTCCTTATTCTCTCTAGAATATCATATGCCAATGATCATATTTTTATTGTTAAAATGTTCTTTAAATCTCATTACTATCATTACTTGTATCACATTATTGCTAATAATAAATAAAATGCTCATGATTTTATAAATTTCTTAGCATGATCGCATATTAAACCTTTTTTATTTAATATCCGTGATGGAACCTGGCAGTGTGTGATTTAGGCTAATGTTTCAACTGTTATTGCGATCTTCTACGAAATTGAAAAATTCCTACTTATTTTTTATCATTCAAAAATAATGTTTATTAAAAAGTTAAATTATTTGCAAATATTTAATATTGTATGCATTTGAGCGTT